TATCTATTGATAATGTGAGGTAGATAGATATAAATTAAAAAAATATCTTTAGAAATTGAGATTGTGTTTATTTACAATTTAAGAGTAACTATTTGATGCTGTTATACGAATATATAATTTTAATGAAAAATATAAAATGGTGTTGGTATAAATTATCGCTAAAATTCCCCGATTGGCTGTATTGAATACTTTTATCAACACTAGAGGTGGGTTTTCTTGAGGGGCGTGTTGATTTTATTAATTTGCTCAGATCTCCTTTGTTTATAAAAATTTAATAAAAGGTAAAATTGTCCAACATTCTCTCTACAATTGCCTATGCCTTACCGTGTCGAGTTTCGCTTTTCACTTTACTACTGTGTGGTATTAAATTCTGTAATTACACGAAAGTTTGCAAAGCAATTTTTAGGAACGCAGATAAAATTTTATAAAATTGGAGACACAGAGGCATGTGGTTAGTTAAGTAAAGTCTATTCCAAAATTTTGACCCCAATATCTTTACTGGATCCAAAGTTATGCGCTAAGAACGATTTGATTACTTTAGCATACAATAATTTTTTAAGGCCGAATGAAACTACGTCGATTTTTTTACTTATTTTTTCCAGTATCACTTATTGTCTCGACATCGTATGCGACTTGTTTTTTTCGAAAATTTGAATGATAATTTTCACTGCAGCAGAGCCTTAAAAACTCCCTGCTGCGCCATTATTAATTAAAATGTATCTTAATTAAAAACCAATGTAAACATGTAATTCTAGATAAGCAGAATTCAAATCATTTAAGTAACGGTCATTATGACGCAACAGGGTTCAACTAATATTATCGATCGGGATTAGTCGTGTGTTGTTTCACCCTGGAGTAGGTGACAAATCACGGCTCATCCCTATTCACATGTTAGCTGAAACACGGGATCAAAATACGTGTTAGATGTTACCGACCCTTCTTACTCCTTCTGGTGTAGACCATATGTATGAGTAAGTGTTAAACAAAAATAGCTGCAAGTGACTTTAACCCCGAGCTGTATTGGGAAGTCATGTTGTGGCTGCCTTCAACATGTGACATTGATTTTGCCATCATTTTTGTTCTCCCCATCAGCGGATTAGAAGAGACATAGCCTTCAGTGTCCTCAGTTTTTGGCATTAACTCGGTAGTTTGCCTTTATTTTGTTTGTTTGTTTGTGTTTACAATTTAACTAGAATATTAGCATAATGTTTGCTTGGAAAATTAATTGTCGTTAATAAGACCGAAACATGTGTCAGCATTTAAAGATAGACAATTGGTTAAATGGACGATGTTTTGCAATTTTAGTAGCTTATTTAAAATTTGCTTGTGAAAGTTCAAAATGTCGAATAGATTAGACGTAATTTCGAAAATACCAAAATCGGTCATTTCCTTCAATGCCTTATATAATCGAAAGTATACGAGAAATTAAAAAAAGTTTTATATAAAAGTTAATTTACGTTTTTACGTTTAATTTACGATTGATGTCAAAAAAATTCAAGATGGCTACTTTTGAGGAACAATTACCAACATCCTGAAGTTAAATCCGCGTTATATTGGATTTGTAGATTAGTTAATAGATTTCGTAATTCTCTTTTCAAGGAGCTATCATAGCATCAAATTGAATAGTATATTGAAAGACAAGTGTTACAATGCGACCTATTGTAATACGACTATCTTGTGGCACGAGTGGCGACGCGAAGCGTAGCCACGAGTGTCCGCAAGATAGGAGTATTACAATAAAGCATTGTAACACGCGTTTTTCATACTATTTTTTCTATTTCGGTGCTTAAATTTAATTAAAAAAATCATTATCAGAAACTATAGGGAACATTAGAACTAACATGTTTTATGTTGGGAACACTTTTTATGCCGTTAAGTTTTAGGTTGGCAGCGTAGTAAGACTGACATTTTGAAGTTCAAACATGAAAGTACCCAACGAAGTACCTACTTGTACTAACTAGTAACTGCCAAATTAAGAGATGAGTTACCAAAAAAAACGACTATAATCACTGTCTTTGTACAACTGTTTTCGGCCGAAAACAGTTGTACAAAATCATCATTGTGACACCGAAATAGAAAAAATAATTTATATCAACGGTTTTTATATATTAATCAAGTAGTCCGCGATGAATAAAAAAAAACAAAATCTATGCGATGATTTTTTTTGATTCGGCATTAGTTTTACCTTTATTCGAGGTGCCTACATTAATTTAAATATCTTACCAAATAAAAAAATCGGATTGCGAATGCGCAAATTGTTTTGATTTGGCATACGGACAGATGAACGGACAAAGTAACCACAATACAATTTATTTAGTTATTCACATTTCATCACATAATATGATTGGCCGCTATTAACGAACATAAAATACAAAAAATTCAAAATCACTGTTTACGTTTTGCGTGTAATCTTAAACGTAGTGATCATGATCATATACAACCTATACTTCAACATCATAATATGCTAAATATGAGAACTAATCGAATATACCACATGCTAAGACTTTTGCATAAAATCATTCTTAATCAAATACCGCTTTATCTCTACACAAACTTTCGGGCACTCAGTAGTTTCCATTGTTACGGTACTAGGACTTCAAATATTAATATTCCTAAGGCTCAGACAAGCATTGGAGCATCGTCCTTTTATATACAAGCGGCCAAATTGTGGAACAAGCTGCCAGAAGATGTTAGACACACCAGGTCCTGTAAAGGTTTCGATCGCAAGTGTTTTTGTTTGTTGCAGGACTCTGAACATGTTTTTTTAATGTTTAATGTGTAAATTTATACGTAGAAAGCTATTATTTTTTCGTTTTTCTTGTTATACTGTTTTACTTACTTTTTACTTTTTTTTGTTATATTTACTTTGTATTTCATAATATTGTTAACTTGTTTTGTTATATCTGATGCGACCAAGTTTGTAGAGGGGGGATATTAATGCTTAACTGCGTAAAGTTTGAGCTGAATCGGCCCAAACATTTACCAGTTATCGTGTTCATAAGAAATAATAAGAAAAACATGTCAAAATCTGCTGTCTTTACGGCAGAATAATGAAAAACTAATTCTTCCGGACTAACGGTTTGAGTTGTCAAAAAATTGGTAATAAATGTAGTTATAGATACTTTTAGGCTGAACATTTTTTGTTTGAAACCTTTTTCGATAACCTAAAACGCCCGCGTAAAGAGAATGGCACTGGAAAAAGGCGGTCATTTTGAATGACGTGATATTGGGAAAACTTCGGTGGTAGGGAATGTCCACCAAAGTTCTTTTTCCTTTCGTCCTTTCAATCGCCGTCTGCAGAATTGGTTCCGAGTTCGATGCCCCGCGCCGGTCACCTCTTCTAATATGATTTCATGTCGTTTTTGTTGTGATATGCGATTTTTCAAGAGCCACTCATACTTCTCGGTCTGGGTTTGAACCCTTATTATAAGCAAATCACGAGGTTTTTATAAACAAACCGCAAGCAAAAAAAATACAACACTCTGCAGGCTTTAAAACAATCCGCTGCTCATTTGTATCCCCATTGATAAATGGAAAGTTTTCGGTTTATGGTGAAACTCAGTTGTTAATATTGGTGCACTCAGTTCAGCAATTCACACAGTTTATTTGTTGCGATTCTCGATCTTGTTTCTTCGGTGCACTTCTTTACAATTATTCTTCCATTAGAATTTAGATAACACGTAAGTCGAAATCACCTCCCACGCACTGTATTTCCTTTTATTATGAAGTCGTTCATTGTCACATTTAAATGTGCACTTTATTGGCCGTGCCTTTACGTAATTCAAATAATTTTTACTTCACAGAAGGACCTGCCTAAATTATTTTACTAAATCAAAGAGTGACATTAACACCGCCAGGTCTGGCACTCGTCTCTCTGTCAGCCAGACCTCGAATTCTCCCGCTGGAATTATCGCTACATCTTATGTAACATTTCACACGTACATACTCATGATAAAACAATACAGGTATAATGTGAAGTTTTATGATGATAATTATATACAAATTTTCTTCTAAATTCGTATCAAAAGCATAGCATCCGTTACATAGTACAGTCACAAATACATTAAACTGCAAGTTTTTAAACTACGAATAATTTTTGTATATTTATATTTACATTTTTTGTTTTTATCTTTAAGTGGGCGGGGTTTCATCAAGGCTGCTCGGCCCACTTTTCCGCCATCTTGGTTTTTATTAATGGACTAATTTAATCAAGCCTTAAATTATATCACTTATTAATATAAAATTTGTACTCGACTTTATGAGAATCGGATTATGTTATGGGCGTGGCCACGCGATTTATTGACAACCTCATTGAATTTATCCCAGGATTTATTCGCGAATTTATTTTAATTAAGTTTGTAACAAACCCCTAGCCCCATCTACCTGTAGGTAAATAATCTTGCCACATCAACTCCCTTATAAGCAGCACGGCAACAACAAACCTGCTTTGAAGAGGACGCCATGCGAATAGCTACCACTTGAATTTTTACTTTGTCTGTACATTGCCTGTACGTCCGTGTACACTTACACCTTCCGGAATCTTACAAATAAAATAGAGTCTTGTGCGGAAGACAGAGTTTCGTATTGCCATCTTCCAACAAGTTGTGATAACTTGTGGAATTCCGTATGAATTGCTGAAATATTTACTAATGTCCTTTTTCTGTCCTTACGCACATAAGGAAAATATATCGACAAAAAAAGAAAAAGAGAGAAAAAATTAATACGTAATTAAAGTACTGATTACTGATTTATTCCAGTAATTATTACCGAATGCTAAGAGATCACAATTTTAATTAAAATAATTCATCAATAAATAAGTCCACAATTCGAAAACCATGTGATAAATTTAATAAACAGGGCAATAAAGCGTGTCAAAAATCCATTTTTTTAAATAATTAAATTAATTGAATCCTCTCCGCAAAACCGCAAAATTAAGTAACCAATCGCTGCGCGAATCAGCAACTAAAATCCAAGATGGCCGGAAAAGTGGGTTCATTCTACTTACCATTTCTCAATGTTGATCCCTTAGAGTTATCGAAAATCCTGATTACAATCCCGAGACACGAGAAGCAAAGCTCGACGAGAACGAGGAGACGAATCACACGCTTCATAAGCCAAGAGAGAGTTTGTAAGTACCTATCTATGTGATATATGTTTTTTACTCCACAAACCTTTACAGCAATGCATCTACTACCATTCTGTCAGCGCTATACGGGAAACTGTTAGTTATCCTAGGAATTGCAATTCCGATCACAGACACAATTTCACCGGACGCAAATTTTTCGTTCTACCAAGGCTTTTATTTGTATTTATACTTCGGAAGCATCGGTTTCGTTGCTTATATGTACATTACGTTAGTAAAGGAGAAGGCAATCTTTTCCATCATGAAAGCATATCGTAAGTATGAATTTATGTAGTGCAGCCAATTTCAGATTCGTTACACTAATTCAATAGTTTGGTTCACAAAGGGTAAACTTCATTAGGGTATATTGATCAGTGCTTTGATGAAGTGAGAGAGGTAATTGACTCGTTTAATTAAAACGAAAATTTTAATGGTTTGCCCTAAATATTCTATTAAACCTTTATTTTTGCGAAATTGAATTGTGTAATGCGATTTTTAATGTAAAAGCGTCTTCGGAAACTGTAAAATTGAATAAACTTAATAATCAGGTCCTATCTTCTCAAAAATAACGGAACCTTTTAAGTTAAGATTTAAGATACTTTATGAATAAGCCTTTATATACACAAGAAAAATCAGAATTCCGTTCCTTCATTGTAACGAGTCTCCACGGTATTGCTTTCCGTGACACCGAAAATAAACGTACACTTTCACAGGAGTGAAATATCTCGTATGCTTTCCTTCATGATTAATAGAAATAAGAGTTTGTGCGTTTCATACACCTTCTGCAGGGGTATGGATCGAGTAAAAAATTGACAATGTGATAAACAAACTCGTTTACCTATAAAACACTGATAAGCTTTCGAACCTAACCCAAACTTACCGCATCCGTGGTTGAGCAACACGATGGATTATTAGACAAATCAATGCCAGAAACTGCTAGCCGGATATTCTAGTCCGTCTCAACTAAATACTACCTAAAGTATCTACCGATGTGGTTTTGTTGGCGTACACGTTATAAGTTTTCTTTATAGTCTTCTGCCTTGATCATACACTAACGCCAAAAATTGACCTAGTTTTATTGGTTTTAATGTCTTTATTCTTTAACTGAGATATTCTTATCCTGACAACATAACCCATGGAAGAATATGTTTATCACAATTTCAATCTCAAAAGATACTAACATTTCTTATGAAATGTACCCGCTGAAAGACAATACACTTTAGTAAATAAGAAACTGGGAATGAATGAGACAGATAACTGAAAAGTAAATAAAATTAGTGTATCAAAAAGTAATGCAAAACAAATGTGTACAAAATTTGAGCCACTCTCAGTTGGTCCGGGGTGCGAGATCAAATTTGGGCTATTGGCCGGGGGTGCGAGATCACGCTTAGGCAATTGGCTCGGGGTGCGAGATGATATTTCGGTAGTTGGCCCGAAGGTGCTTCAGCAGTTGACCCGGAGTGCTATATGTCGGCAGTTGGTCCGGGGTAGTTTGGCAGTTGGCCCGAGTGCTTTGGCAGTTTGCTCGGGATTATTTTCGTAATTACAATAAAGGTCTCACATTTTCGTTTTTTTTTAAATTTACTTAATAGGTTTGTATGTCAGCTCTCCCTATGAGACGACACACATCTAAGCTTGCCCATACACTGCGTGAAAACGTCAGTGCATAAGAATCCCACGCTTACATTCAGTATTACACAAAACACACTCCGCGTTTTGGTTGTACACTCGCCATGACTGCAACAAAACTAGCTGGTCTACTACAATCGGTTAAAATTATGCGCTTCAAGCGCATGCACACACTTACAATTTCAAGGTCAGCCCAATAACCTAGCAGAGTTACAAGCCTAGTTACTTTTCTGGTAACTTTTTTAATTCTAGTGACTTTTCTACAAAATTTTTGATTTTTTCTAGACGAATTTTGATTAAGGTCAAAGTACGTAATTCTCCAAGGGCAAATATTGAAAGCTTAACGAAGAAAATAGAAGCTCCTACAAAATGGCCGCAGTCTACTTTTTATTGACTTCATCGTTTAACTACAACATTTTTAAAGCCTCCGTAATTAACAGGTTCTTACGCGTTAGCCTACTACGAGTATTTCAAGTATCGTAGGTTCGAATCCTCAACGCCAATAAGCAACCTCCAGCAATCACTGATGACGAGGGTCCAAGGTGACGAGTCTAAAATAGCATCCAAGATGGTGGGTTCAAATTGACATCCAAGATGGTGAACCAAGTACCACAGTACCTACCCCAGGCCGACTGCCGAAATATAGCATCCCGGGTCAACTGGCGAGGCACCCCCGGATCTCGCACTCCGGACCAACTGCCGATAAATTATCTGGCACCCTGGCCAAACTATCGAAATTAGAATTTTCCCACGGTCTAGTTCACCAATACCTACAATTATTCTTGAACCCTCAGATAAAACACGATATATACCATGCAAGGTGCCGTTTACACTTCTGTAAATACATCCTAGGTTTGTAAATGGTACTTTTATATTGCTTGGTACGTAAACTACCATTACACTGCACTTCACTGTATCTCCGAACATGACAAGAGAAATGTACATCAACAAAGCACAATATTTGATAGGGAAACATGTACGAAACTCATTTAAAGGGGATTTTGTATTTAATAAATTGATTTTTTAGGCAAAGAAAGTAGAAGCTTTATCAAGAAGAATACACTGTCTGTGGGGCGGTTGTGGCATTCTAAAGCTGAGCGATACGGAAGTCTGTACCTGAGACTGGGAGCGATCGGTGAGTACTCCTTTTTGGATGAGGCGCACCTATCATGTAGGATCTTTAATTTATACCGTCAATGACGCCAGCCAGTATCCAATTAAACAATTTTTGAGGTTCTTTTTTAAGACGCCACTGAAAGGTAAATTCAGGTTCATTTACTGGTGTAGTGACACTTACAAAGAAAAATGTGGCCTTTAAGATATGATTGGCTAAACCAAATGAATTTTTTTTGTGAAGCAGATTTAAATGTTCGATGATGGGTGTAGTTTTTGAAAATGTATTGTAAAAGCTCAAGTCCAGCCGAGAAAAGACCGCGCAACTCAAACTCAGAAATCAAAACTCCCGTCAAAGCCAATTGAAACTCATGATGCATGATCGTCAAGGAACAAGCCTGCCTAAAAGTTAGATCGCTCGTCCAAAGTAATGGCTCTCAATCGGGAATTCAATCTACTACGATAATTCAAAAACAGTGTAAATTAAACGTGCAGATCCAAGTTTATTGACTTCCGCTCAAGGAGTAAGCTAATTACGAGTAGGAACTAATCAGGAAATAACTCTTAAAGATTCGGGCAATATTTTAAACAGACAAAACTATACCATGGTTTTCTTGTATGAACCTGTCTAGAACAAAACAACAATATTTTCCGTTTGAATGTAAATTTAATTAATGAGAATTTTCTGAGTTCACAATTTAGATTTTAATATCGAAATAACGAAAATATTAATTATTAAGTGTGTTTCTTGCAGTACACATCAGTATATGACAGTTGTGGCACAGTATATCATGATACAAAATTTTATCATTGACACAACCTTTCTCTTTAAAAAAATGCAACTTTGATATAACTCACCCTGTATAATTTCAATTTCGTTGAAAATATTTTGTAGGTTGTACCCTTAAAACCTGCCTTAAGAGTTCTTCAACATGTTACGACAATGAATTTTCAATGTTTGCGTTAATAAACCCACAATCAATAAATGAGTAGGATCACAGTAAATAATTATGACACAAAAACGTTTATGAATGCCCAGGATTTGATTAAAACGGTTATAGGTTATAATTTGGTACCTTCGGTACAAGTAAGTGCAAAATGGGTACAAAATAATGTTATTGACAGGTCTTCAAATTGAATTATACTGTGCTAGGAGTGTACAGACACTTTTATAAACGCTTGGCGCTTGGTACCCATTATTTCAGTGTGCTTTGTGCGGATCAGTATCAATAAAATAATGATCTTTGTGATCCAGAAAAAGATCTTTTACTTTCCTACATTTTGTTATCTTTTGTTTAGCTTAGTCACGCTATCCATTTCTGTGGGAAAAGGTTCAAAGTTAAACTGACATTATACAACCGGGCCTAAATAAGCGTTCCTTAATTACGCACAAAGTTTAAGTTTATTCTACTATAAAATGATTAAAATGCCAAGTAATAACGATGTTTCTGTATCTTGTAGCCTTCACCAGATACAATTATGTCGTGGTCTAAGATTTCATCAGTGTAGGAGTCCAGTACTCCGTGTGGTTCATTCACGGTACTTGCTTTGCTTAATTACGTAGTACTGTTTTTACAATTATTCACAATGGGTACTTATAATTCAGATTAAACTCAAATTCTCGCAATGTTATTGTCACTTTATTTATTGGTTTACAGGCGATTTAATTTGGTACTTGTAATTTTATAATCTCTCCTTGTACACTTTCGGCATCTGCTAGAAAGAAGAAGCCCCAATACTGACTCAAATTCCAAACAGTTAATTATACAAATTTTGATCAACACCTAAAATAAATCTTGGATACGAAAAGGTAAATCTGACATGAACACTCTATGGGAGTCGCACAATGGTTTGGAATAAACACATTCAATTAACTGATTGACAAAAACAAAAATTGATTCACACATGAAATGAAAATTAAAACAAAATTCATGAAAGAAAGAAAAGATTACAAAGCTTATTTGGACAAATTACCCCGCACGCAGGCGTTCCATTTAATAAAACAAGAAAATCTTAAAATTAATTAGTTTTTTTTCTCTTTTTATAATCCTAATATTCTGGTCGTACAAAAGTTTGCGATAACAAACCGCACTTAACTTCACACGTAAACGATGACGGATTCTGAACTTCTTCAACTCGTTAAATCGAGCGGACTACCCATAATGAAACGTACGCGCTTTTTCAATCGTCGCAAACCACCTAACCTCGTTTTTACGTTAATTCTAGTATTTAATGAAACATTCCTTCCACAATAAAATAATCTCCTTCCTCAAGATTTTTCAAAAACACCACCAATCATAATTACATTTACAGTTTTCGTAAACTGTAGTTATACTTGAGGATAATAATTCATAAAAGATAGAATATTTATTTTTGGAAATTTGTGCGAACCATTTTAATGCATATGTAAGGCACATCCGTTAGCTTTGTACATGAATTCATCATTGAAATGCCTCTCGTTCCAGTGTACTCGCACTTTTCTTAAGATGATAGTTTTTCTTAAAAGCATTTCGTAATTTGGTATACATGTAGTACAAAACGCAAGCTCATATAGAACTTAATGAAACGTCGTATTTTCATCCAAAATAATTCAGTCGATTTAATTAA